CTGCCCAAGCAGGAGACCCTAGACCAGGGGTCTTCAAACTTGGCTCATTTATGTCTTGTGGACTTCAACTCCCAGAATTCCTCAGCGAGGCACGCTGGCTGAGGAATTCTGGGAGTTGAAGCCCACAAGTCATAAAAGGGCCAGGTTTGAAGACCCCCTGCCCCAGACCATTTCAGACAGATGGCTGTCCAATCTCTTCTTGAAAACCTCCAGTGATGGAGTACCCACAACTTCTGGTGGCAAGTTGTTCCACTGGTCAATTATCCTCACTGTCAGAAAGTTTCTCCTTACTTCCAGGTTGCTTCTCTCCTTGGTGAGTTTCCATCCGTTGCTTCTTGTCCTGCCTTCTGGGGCTTAGAGGAGAGGCAGTGCTGGGCAAGCTCCTTCTACAAGCCTCACACACACACACACACACATAGACATAAAGCACTGTCTCACACAAGTCACCTGGAACCTGGCTGGGATGGGGACCAAAGTCTTTTCACACACCCACCCACACGCACACATCCCAAATGCAGGCTTCTATGCAGGATGATTGAAACATGAAACGCCCGCAATCGCAATCCTGCAATCGCAATCCGTGCAGCTTTCTTGCTCACCTTTGGGAGAAGCTTGACCTGTTGGGGCAACTCAGCCTGTTGGGTAGCCTGGCCTCCGAGGCAGGAAGCCGGGATAATCCCAGGTTACCTGCGTGGGGTGACGGTAGTCAGTGGGTGTGTTTGGCGCCCCAAGAGAGCCTGGGTGGGAGAAGCAGGAACAGAGATTGCGCAGAGGGCATCTTCCCTGAGCCCCCAACCATCTGCAGCTGCCCCTCCCCTCTTTTTCCTGTTGTCTTCACCCCCTCCCCTCTCCCTGGGGCAGGGGTCAGCAACCTTGGCTCTTTTATGAGTCCTGGACTTCAACTCAGGAATTCTGGGAGTTGAAGTCCACGAGTCATAAAAGAGCCAAGGTGTTGCCTACCCCCGCCCTGGGCGGATGCTGCATTTGGGCTAGGGGAGGAGGGGGGGGAGATAAAAACAGCAGAAAAAAGAGGGGGGCAGTTGCAAAAATGCAGGGAGTCCTGAACTTAACAACAGTTGTTACTGAGGGAGTCACAAGGGCACTGAAAAAAGTGACTAACGACCATTTTTCACACTTGCAACCATTGCAGGATCCTCCTGGTCACGGGAACAAAATTCAGACCCTTGGCAACTGACTCACATTTATGACGGTCACAGCGTCCCGGGGCTCTCGTGATCCCCTTCTGTGACCTTCTGACAAGCAAAGTCAGCTTCGCTTCCTGCCTAGACAAACCCCCACCAGGTGCTCTCCAGGATCCCAGGGCAGGTTCTGCCCTCCGACTCCATCTCCGGCTCTGAGCAGAGCAGGAAGGGAGAGAGGGGGCAGGAGGGGGGGGTCCTGGGTTTCTTGGCTGAGCTGGGGGAGGGGCCCAAAGGGTGGTCTTTCAAATGGCTTTAATGATTAACAGGAGACTTCCCTGAGCCCCCAGCCCCCTCCAAGGGGGAGGCCGGTGTCTGGCTGGGCCCAGGAGAGTCTCTTGTGGATGGATGAACAAAATGGATGAACAAAATCAGGGGGTCTGCCCTCCCCCCCCACAGGTAATTTGGACCGAGGAAAGAGGCACGGCGGAGGAGGAGCAATTCAAGCAGAGCTCTTTGCAACCCCCTGAATGTCTTGGGGGGGGGGCACCTGTTTGGAGAAGCTGACCCTACCCCCCCTGGCCATTCAAAGCCATATTTTACCAGCTCAGGCCCTGCACCAGCCAGGGGAGAGGAGTTCCCAGCCCTTGGAGGAAAGGAAAATAAATAGGATCCAGATGAGGAGGGAACGCACAGCCCAGTCCTCCACTGGCTTGTGCAACACACAGACACACCATGAAAACCAAGCGGGCCTCAAAGCGAAGGCCCAAAAACCGGAGCCCCGGAGGGGAGGCTGCAATTCTGCTCGTCTCCCTCCAGAGGGGGATTCTGGGAAACGAAAGGCAGGATAGGGGCTTCGCCTCTCCCAGGATGCCCTCTCTGTCTCTGCCGATCAGCTGCAAAGTGCAATGGGGTGGGTGAGCAGGCAGCCCCCCTCCCTCCCTCCCTCCCCAGATGCCGAACCAGGCAGAGAACAGCCTCTTTGTGGTGAGCTGGGAAAAGCCGCAATTTGCCAGCCAGCCGAGCAGCGTCGCCAGGGCATCCTGGCTGGCACAGCCTCTCCCCACTCAGCACAAAGGGCCGATTCACCTTTCCTTGCCCGAGGAAGAGGACAGGGCTGGCCAGTGGTTGGAGCAATCAGTCCTAAGCAGGCAGGAAGACAATGGGCGGGAGGCTGGATCAGAATCCACAACCAGCAACCCAAGGGGGAAACTCAAGTCTGGGGGGGGGATGCTGGGGAGGGGTGTTGGGAGGGCTGAGGAGGGGGGATGAAAGGGGTGGCTTCTCCTCCAAGCTCCTGCTGTCTCTTTTGGGGTCTCTCCGGGAAACAGAGCAAGACTCCATTCATCTAGGGCGGGGGTCTCCAGTCTCGGCTACTTTAAGACTTGTGGACTTCAACTCCCAGAATTCCTCAGCCAGCCATGTGCTTCCAATATTTGAGGGCCTGTCACACAGAAGGGGGGGGCTCAACCTCTTCTCCAGAGCAGAACAAGAAGCAACGGATGGAAACTCGTCAAGGAGAGAAGCAACCTGGAACTAAGGAGGAATTTCCCGACAGTGAAAACAATTAATCAGTGGAACAGCTTGCCACCAGAGGTTGTGGGTGCCCCAACACTGGAGGTTTTCAAGAAGAGACTGGACACATTAGTCTGAAAAGGCATAGGAGGTTGGTCTAGAAGACCTCCCAGCTCCCTTCTGACCCTGTTCCGACTCTGGGACTGTTGGGGAGCCAAACCCCTTCCAAGGAAGGCCAGCTGAGTTTGGGGGTCCAGGAGGGATGAAGAAGAGAAGGGGAAGAGAAGGCCGTGCCAGTCCGTCGGCTAACCCTCCAAAGCCAGAGGCAGCAGCCTGTCTTGCACACTCCCCTGGTGTGTCATTGTGAAGTCACGCCCCAGGAATGCGCTGGGCCTGGTTTTCTGAAGCAGTGACGCTTTGGAAAGAAAACCGGTGCTGGCTAAATCCTCAGGAGCCAAACGAGCACGGTGGGGGTGGGGGAATAGCAGCCGCTGGAGAGAAGGAAGGAAGGACTGGGGGGGGGGGCACGTGGGTCTGCTGGGGTCAGACGCGCCACCCCCTTTGCTAATGACCCCCAACTGGCTCCTGTGCACCTGGCCCAATGCAGTCACTTTGAGGAAAGCCTTGCAGGGGTGTGGGGGGGTGAGGTGGGGGGGCTATTGATTTCTATTGTTTTATACAGACTGAGAGTGGTGGGAGCTGGCTGGGACAAGGCTCCAGAAAGGATCCGGCCTGGCCTTGAGTCATCACCTCACAGGCGCCAATCCCAAAAAGGGTTAACTTTTTTCCCCCCATGGTTCCTTTTTGCAAAAGGAAAACGTTCTTCTCTTTGCTTTTTCTTTCTTTTTCTTTAAAAAATTACAAACGCTCCCTCCCTGCTTCTCATCCTGTTTCGTTCCTTCCTTTTAATAATAATAATAATAATAATAATAATAATAATAATAATAATAATAATAATAATAGCCTGGAACCAGATGGCCCCCTCTTGGCCCCCCAGCCCCCTTTTTGTCCCCCCCCTTAGCCCAAAGTTAGGGGAAAAAAGGGCCTGGGGGCTCCCACAGCCGGCAAGGGGACCCTCGTCCAGCGAAGAGGATTCTGCTCATTTTGCCACTGATCTTTTTCTCTCTCTCTCTTTTTTCCCCTGGAGGAAAAAAAAGCCATTTTTGCCTTTTAAAGGCAGAGATCCCAGAGGCGGCTGGCGGTGAGATGACTCACTCCCGCTCCCCCTGCCCCCCCCCGTGTCGTGGGAACCACAGTTGTGGCGGTCGAGGCGCTCTGCACACCGCCCAGGAGCCTCGCCAGCCTTTTCCTGGAGGGGGGGGCGGTGGGGGAGAGCTGCACACATCTGGGGCAAGACTCAGCACCCCTCGCTCCCCAGAAGGAGGCCCAGCTTTCCTTGTGGGGGGGGCTCAAATCCCCCCCCCCCAAGATACATTCCACTCATTTAATACAGAGAGTCCTCAACTCACAACCACAGCTGAGCCCGTGAGAAATTTGTTAAGGGAGTTTTGTCCCATTTTAAAACCTGGCTTTTATGCAGGTGGTCCTCAACTTACAATCAGAAATCTAATAAAAACAAACAAATGAATAAAAAAATCTAAAGCTGCAGCAGGATCAAAAGTTTTGCAAAGTGACATTTTAATCCCACCTCAGCCAACTCCTATGATCCCTCACCTCATAATGCAGTTGCTGTAGACATCACCTTTCTTTCTTTTTTCTTTTCCTTTCTCTCGCTTCCTCTCTCTCTCCCTCTCTCTCCTTCCTTCCTTGCACATAAATTAAGAGTAGCTTTGTCCAACCTGATCCACCTACAGATCATAGGATCCGTGTTGGATTGCTGCAAAGTATTAACTGAAAGGGGGCCAGAATCAAGTTTCTAGTCCACAAGAAGAAAATGGAAAAAAACAGATGGGAGGTGGAATTCTGCCTAGTAATTCTTCTTATGTGAGGTAGCGCTTCCAAATAAAGGCAATTAAAATAACTTTTATTTTATTTTTTGCCATTCCTTTCTTCCTGCTCATGGGGTTTGGATTTTAAACGGTTTGTGTTTTTTAAGGCTTTGACAATCTTCCTTTAATATGGTTTTATGGACTAGTTGTATTCCGTTTATTGTATTTTGCTGTGGTTTTTCATTTTGTGAGCTACCCAGAGCCAACACTTATGAGATGATTGGCTCTAAAAATTGAATAAATATTTTTTTTTTTTAAAAAAAAAAACAAACTTAGATGGAGGAACTTTAGCTATATGGCTAAAAGCAACTTCCTTTTGAAGGCGATGAATTAATACAGAAGATAACAACTGAGACAGAACTTGGTCATTTAAATTATCTTTTTCCCGGGGTATTACCTGTTTCTTCCAAGGCCTCCCTCTGAAGGGGTCAGGCTTGCTGGCCTGAGAAAAGCTGGGAGACGGCAAATGTCTCTCTCAAGGTCGGCTCGCCATTTCCAAGTTTGGTCTGGAAAAAAAAAAAAACAGTTTACAAGCCAAGAAATGAGAAGACCTCAAAGAAAAATATAAATAAAAGGGATTATTTTGGTCTGAGACTTGGCTCGAACATGCTGACCCACGACAAGGGCTGGAATAAGGAAGGAGCCGAGACGATCGCCAGGAGGGCTCCGGGCTCTTCAGAGTTTGCAAGTCTCACCAAAGGCTGCCCGGAGGTCATTTAGTCTGACCCCAGGCAGCTGCCCTCGGAGAACCATGCAGCATCTGAAAGCCAAGAGGTGGATGCAGCCAAAGTCATCCGGAGGACTGAGAGATCTGGAGGGCACTGACTATGGGGTGGGGAGAAAGCCGTGGGAAATTCCACAGGGAAAAAGGCAGTGGGAATGCAGGCAGGCCCAGCCTTGCGAATCTCATGAGCCAAGATCCGGGGGAAATATCCTAAGTTTTATTGCTAAACCAACATCATCGCCATGGCAACGAGGAACAACAAGCATAATCATACAGCATCCACACTGGAGATCTGCTGCGTAGGTGGCCAATCAGGCACACCCCACGTGCCTGGGGGGGGGGCAGAAGAGAGAGGGAGAGCCCCCTGGGAAGCAATTGCTCATCAGGCCAGGAGCACAAGAGAAGGGGACACACATACACACACACCCCACACAAAGCATTAGAGAAAGGAAAGGAAAGGGAAATGAAGGAAGGAAGGAAGGAAGGAAGGAAGGAAAGAAGAAAGGAAGGAAGGAAGAAAGAAAGAAAGGAGAGAGTGAAAGAAAGAAAAAGAAGAGGGGGGAGGGAGGGGATAGGAGGGAGAATAGACAGAAATGGGAGGGAGGGCGGGAAGGAAGGAAGGAAGGAAGGAAGGAAGGAAGGAAAATAGAAGGCAATTAGGGAGAAATGGAAGGAAGGAAGGAAGGAAGGAAGGAAGGAAGGAAGGAAGGAAGGAAGGAAGGAAGAGGGGAGGGGTGGGGAGGGGCTTAGGGGCACTTCCAGCATAGGGCCAACATTTCACTTTCCCCAATTTGTACAATGGCTATGGAAAGGAAGGAAGGGGGGGAAAGAGACTGAGAAAGGAAGGTACAAAAAAAAAGGCAGAGGGCTGGGCCAAGTCTCCCCACCTAAGGCAGAAGCCGCTGTCAAAATCCCCCCTAACCAGCCAGGCGCCCATCTGCTCTTCGAAAGGAAGCCGGCATTTCGGTTCTGCATCCCGGAGACCAAATTCTCCTTCCATCTGGGCCTTTCCTGCAAATCTGTCAAAAAACAAAACAAAACAGAAAACCCAAGAAACAATTTTAGGAACAAAAACTAAATGCAAAAATAAATCCTTTTAAAATCAAGTTGAACTTTTTAAACTTTGCCAAAAAGGCATCGCATAATCCGTGGAATGGCTGAGTGTTCTTCTGTCTTAAAAAGATTTTTTTTTTTTTTACTTTTACCAAACAAATATCTACAACAGGAGATATGCTGGCTGGGGAATTCTGGGAGTTAAAGTCCACAAGTTTTAGTTGCTAAGGCTGGACACCTCTGATCTACAGGAATGTTTAAATCAGCAGGTTGTAAAAACCAGGTTAGCTTCCCCCCAAATACACCTCATCTCAGTTTGAAGAAGAAATGTCCCCCCCCCCCAAAAAAAACAACAACCAGGATCCTTACCAGGTGAACTTCACCTGTGGAGCACCCAGCCAATCATAAAGTCTGCAGCGCCCTCCAGTGGCGAGCAGGGTCACCTCTCTCCAAACTTATGCTCCAGAGGGAGGAGCTTCACGAGGCCACGCCCCCTGGCCAAACTACAGTTGCCAAGAGCCCTGGGGAAACTTCACACCATCTGAATTTGTCCAAGTTTAAACTGTCCATCTTCTCCAAATACCCGTTTTAGGGGGGGTGGGGGAGAAAAGGGAGCAAATGTTGGGATGGGCTTTATCCTTATCGGCCGCTATGGGTCTTTTGAGGGCATCAGGGAGGGTCTTCCTTTTAAATTCTTTGCTTCAGGACAGCTGTGGCTGCTCTTGCAAGGGGGCAGTGTGTGTGTGTGTGTGTGTGTGTGTGTGTGTGTGTGTGTGTGTGTGTGTGTGTGTGTGTGTGTGTAAAGATGTTGAGAATAGGGAAAGAGTGCAGAAAAGAGCAAAAGAGGATGATTAGGGGATTGGACGCTAAAACACAAAGAACAGTTGCAGGATTTGGGTATGGCCAGTCTAGAGAAAAGAAAGGACGAGGGGGGACATGATAGCAGTCTTCCAATATTTGGGGGGCTGCCACAAAAAAGAGGGGGGGGGTTTCCACCTATTCGCTAAAGCACCCGAAGGCTGGACAAGAAGCAACGGATGGAAACTCATCAAGGAGAGAAGCAATCTGGAACTAAGGAGAAACTTCCTGACAGCGAGAACAATTTAATCAGTGGAACAGCCTGCCTCCAGAAGTGGTGGGTGCTCCATCCCTGGAAGTTCCCAAGAAGAGACTGGACAACCATAGGTCTGAAATGGTCTAGGGCAGGGGTAGGCAACCTCGGCTCTTTTATGACTCGTGGACTTCAACTCCCAGAATTCCTGAGCCAGCTTGGCTGTCTCAGGAATTCTGGGAGTTGAAGTCCACAAGTCATAAAAGAGCCGAGGTTGCCTACCCCTGGTCTAGGGTCTCCTGCTTGAGTGGTGGGTTGGACTAGAAGACCTCCAAGGTCCCTTCCAACTCTGTTATTCTGTTATGATGCAAATAAAAAAAGGGAGTCAAGGTAGCCTCTGCACCACACATAAAAAGCAGAATTAATAAAGAGAAACTGCTGGGCTGGCCAACTCAAGATTTTGCATTGCATAATCTGGGAAGAATCACACCTTGTTCACCTGCTCCTAAGTGGCTGGCTGTGATTGTTTTGCCAGTGGAGCGTTTAAGCCTCTTGGTCACACCTGACACATCTCAGTGTTCAAGGGAGAACATTTTCCACCTCAAGGGCTCTTTCAGCGTCTTGCAAACCGTCAGGGGCCATGTGGGAACTGAGCTAGGCCCACAAGTCAAGAGGAGGTTAAATAAATCAAAATTATTTTACAAAGCACTTTATAATGTACAGTAACTCAGCTCCTTTCCAAAACTCTTAACAATCTCTCTCTACACAACCCCAGAAGGAAGCCCTGTTTGCATGCCTCCCGAATGCTGAAATTGCTTAAAGTGATAGTTTCTATTTGTTTTTTAATTAAATGTATATGCCACCATCTCCCTGTCAAGCGATTAAAGCAGGGGTCTCCAAATTTGGCAACTAACCTTCGTCCTGTAGACTTCAATTCCCAGAATTCCCCAGCCAGCGTGGGGAAATAGCATGGCTGGATGGGAGTAGCAAGGCTGGCTGATGAATTCTGGGAGTTGAAGTCCACAGGTCTTAAAGTGGCCAAGTTTGGAGAGCCCAGGTCAAAAGTAATAAATTTAGCCTGGGCCTTTTCTCTCTTTCTGCTTGTCCTTTTCTCTCCGCTGCTGATTTGGGGAGAATTCCACCATTTTCAGCGGCTGCCAGCAGACTTAAGTATCTCAACAAAGAGCGGAGACCCCAGATCGTCTTAAATAAAGACAGAATTAGGAATATGCCCGGGTTTCCATACCAGACAAGTGAGCAATCTGAAACACAAAAAAAGCTGGGCTCTGGAGATTGGAAGGAGCAGTTTGTAAAGCGAGAATATGTGTTTTTTCTGGTTTTTGCCGAGATTAAGGGCTTCGTGCTGAGGCCAAGGCTTCTGTGAAGCTAAAGCCAGAGGGATGAGTGCTAAAGGAACACTTCGGCCGCTTCTAAGGACACCTTCCTGCCTTATTAGCTTTGCTTGTGGCAGGAGCCCACGCGAGGGAGGGTCTCCAATTACAATCCCCCCCCCCCAGTCCCTTTATTCTCCTTGCAAAGCTTTGCTCAGTTCCCAAAGGAGCTAAAAACTACAGGGAGTCCTTGAGTTACGACAATAATTCTGCCCAAAATTTCCATGGCTAAGCAGGAGAGTCGTTAAGTGAGTTTTGCCCCATTTTACGACCTTTCTTGCCACAGTTGTTAAGTGTTAAGTTGTTAAGAGTAGTTGTAAACTGAGGACTCCCTGTAATGGATTACTGAATTACTGGACGGCAAAGTGTGAATATTAGCTTTCCTCTCTCCTGAAGGATCTGGGTTAGCAGTTGAGGATTAACTGGGCTTCTTTCTTCTTTTTTATAGAACCAAGCTGCTAGTCCTCAAGTCAAGCTTGTTGAAACTGTAAGGGGGCCTTTCCAAAGGAGTCAGTCTGGGCTCCAGCTGGGCACAGGATAATCTGGCTCTTGTGCCCAGCCCTTCCCTCCCTCCGGGCCTTTTTCTCCCTCACCTTTGGGGCTGCCAAACCGCACCTGCCACCCGGGAACGCCTCTGCCCTCCAGGTTCGAGGCGGCAGGCGAGGGCCAGCCTCACACCAGGCGCTCCGAGGCAGCGCATCTTTCAGCAGCGCCTGCCTTCCTCGCCCTTCGGCTCTCGCAGGTGCCAGGTAAACAGGTGGAGTGGAGGAGCTGTGCCCGGGCAGGTTGGCACAAACTGAGGAAGGGCCGGAGGGCTTGGGGGGGGGTCTGTGCCAACTGGATCGGGGAGGGAAGCAGGGAGAACGGCCGATGCAGCCACCCTGCGTGCCAGGGGCCCTTCAGCGGATGCCACTTGCCCGAGACCCAGCTGGCCCCTTGGCTGGGGCGACGGAAGGAGCGCGGGTGGGAAGGGCCAGGGCCATCCAGGGGGAGAAGTCCAGATGTGCTATTTGGGGTTTGATGCAGACCCCAAGCAGGGGAGAAAGTTTTCACCCTCCAACCTGAGAGCTGCTGGGGGGGGGTGTTGTATAAATCGGAGAGGGGGAGAGTTTGAGGCCCCTCAGTTTCAGGTGGGATCCTCCCCAGGCTCAGGATTAGCCCCCCGATGCTCCTCAAAATCTTTGTCCTAAGCTGCATGTAATGCAGCGCAATGTAACACAATTTATTCTATTTATTTTATTTAGAAGGTTTATATGGCCACCCGCTCCCACGGACCCCAGGCGGCTTCTGAGCAATTTAAAAAAAACAACATAACAGAATAAAGAACAGAAACCCCAGCACCAGTAATACAATGCAGTTTTGGCAAAGCAATGCCAATTGGGGGGAGGTAAACTAAATCCCATGACGTTGATGGGTCCTTCCCACCCCTTCCCCCGACTTTTGGGAGGCAAAAGAAGCAAATTCTCTGCAGGTCCAGGCAGCGAAGCCAGGATGCCTCCCAGGAACCACAACCAGGATCCTGGCGTTAGCACACAGTGTGAGCCAAATGTGGTTCCTTGGTTTGGGTGCAAAGCACGCACCGTGCAATGCCACAATATTATTGCCCCCACCAGTGAAGCGCTGATCATGATCCAGGAAACTGGATCCATTCTTGAGTGGCTCTTGAAACCAAGAATTGGAGGTTGCAGAGAAGAGCTTGAGGATGGCTTAGGGCTCTCCACTCCTCCTTCAACCCTCCCACTCAAGTGCCTGAACGGCTTTGTGGCTAAGGATCTGGATTTATTGGCCAAGCCAGGAGGGAAGGTTTGTGGTGCAAGAGATTCCTCCACCTCCTCCCTCAGCCTCAGGGCGATTTCAGGCACGGTTTTTGTGACCGTCGGGTGTAGAGGATCATGAGGAGCGGGTCCACAGCTGACTGGGGAATTCTGGGAGTTGAAGTCTACTAGTCTTAAAGGGGCCATAGTTCCCCCATGCTGGCTCAGGAATTCTGGGAGTTGAAGTCCACGAGTCATAAAAGAGCCAAGGTTGCCCACCCCTGCCCTATACCATTTCAGTTAAATATAAATTTTCTTAATAAAGAATAACACACACACACACACACACACAAAAGAGGCTGCACTAGCGAGAGAGGACCCATGTAGGCTATTTGACACTTTGACAAAGAAATGTCTGCTTAATAACGACAGATGAGGGCGGCGCCTGGGTGATGCAATTTAAAAGGACTGCAGATGAACTGGAAAGCGGTTGGGACGGGTGATATCAGCATTAAGAAAAGTCATATACTGCTAGTCCTCGACTTATAACAGTTGGTTTAGGACCGTTCAAAGTTACAAGGGCACCCCAAAAAAATGACTTATGACTGGTTCTCCCACTTATGACCGTTGCAGCGTCCCCACGGTCACGTGATTAAAATTCAGGCGCTGGGCAACTGACTCATGTGTGATGGATCCTTCAGCAATTCTAGCCTGCTCCCCTCTTCCACCTTTCCCGGCTCACAGGCTCCTCCAGAGAGACGTGTCTTCCCATCCCATCTGGGCCTGGCCCTTTCTGCCTGGAGGGAGAACTCTGGCTTGACTGCTTCAGTGATTTATTTGGATTAGATCCTGCATTTCCGGCCTTGGCCTACCTCGAAGGGCCGACAAGGATCCCAAAGCCCCATTTGCTCTCCCTGACAGCAGGGCCCTAAAAGACACCCCCAGTCCTTGTGGGGATCCCCTTTCCTTAGGTGTGATTGCAGAGCAAAGGAAAAAATGTGACATTTCGAGACGAGGCAACCGATCCCCACCGGTCACATTCCCTGTACCTCCCAGGGGCCTTTCGTGAAACAAAATCCAACACCTGCACAGGCCAAAATTAGCAAGTGCGTCTCTTCCTCATCTGCCCCCAGGCTTACCTGTCCTCTCCAGCCCGCTTTGACCCCCGTCACACCTGCCCACTGCCCCTTCCGCCTGAGCTGCCACCCTTCCACATCTGCACCTCGCAACTTAGACATCTAGCTCTCCACAGTCCTCAACAAAAGTTCATTTAGTGACCGTTCAAAGTTACAACGGCGCTGAAAAAAATGACTTATGACCACTTTTCACACTTATGACCGTTGCACCATCCCCACGGTCACGTGATCAAAATTCAGCCACTTGGCCACTGACTCGCATTTATGACGGTTGCATCGTCCCCCAAGGTCACGTGATCCCCTTTTGCGACCTTCCGACAAGCAAAGTCAATGGGGGGGAAAAGCTGGATTTACTTAACAACCGAGTTACAAACTTAAAAACTGCAGTGATTCACTTAACAGCTGCAGCAAGGAAGGTCGTAAAATGCAGCAAAGCTCACTTAACAAGAGTCTCGCTTAGCAACAGAAAGTTTGGGCTCAGCTGTGTCGTACGTCGAGGACTGCCTGTAAGGTTAGGGCTAAGGCTAGAATTGGGGTTCGGCTTCCTGTTTATCAGCCTGGCTGGGGAGACCAAAAATCCGAGTGGGTGCCCAGCCAGCTGCCCAGAGAAGCCTGGAGGGCTGGCACAGAAATTCAGAGGCCCAAAGCAGGGGAGGTCGGGTGCTCACCCCTGCCAGGGCATGCCAAACAGCACCACGGCTTCTGTGGCACCGTACCCGGAGAGCTGGCTTTACCAAATTATTTACAAATCAGTGTACAACTATTTCTGGGTGCGCCATCCCTGGAGGTTACGAGTGTAAGATGAAAGGCAAGACGGAAATGGTGCTTCCTGCATCCGGCCTCCCCAGGTGAGCCCCAGGTGATTATCGTGTCTTCCAGGGATGGAGAAACAGAGGCCCAACCAGGAGTTGACTCACCCACCAAACAGGGTATAGGACCGGCTCTGTGGGACCAGGGAGGCTCTGGACACCTCTCCGCCCCAAAACAAAGCTGGGTGCTGCTTTACTCACAGGAAGACCTCTCCTTGCAGGGCGGTGGCAGTGTGACGGTCCTCCTTTTCACACTCCTGGCTCATTTGCGGGTCTGTCAACACAACCAGAGACTGTAGCATCCCTGAGAGGTAAGGAATTTGTACGGTTGGAGGCACAGAGAAGAGAGCAGGTTGTAAGGCTGGAGGCTGTTTGGCTCTTTGGCTGTTCTGGGGAAAAAGCTGAACAGGATCCCTAATGGGTAGATGGCACTCCCTGCCACAAGATGCCTGAACAGGCCTGGCTCAGGGCGTTTGTGAAGGGTGAGAACAATTTCAGGGGGGAAAAAACCTGCTGAAGGCTGAGTCTCCAGATGCTAACTCCTGAAAGGGGATGGGTGGGAGGGGGCAGGATGATGGAGACCCTCCGATTCTCCCAGGAAAGCCTGAAGAAGCAGTCCGGGGCCCAGATGGGGACTGGGGAAGTGCCATTCTGGAGGTGGCTATGGTCCACCCCGTTGTGTACTGGCTCCCTCTCAGCTAATTTTCTGTTAATACCAATGTTGTATTTATTGTTTCAACAGGGCGTCTCTGACCTCGGCCCCTTTAAGACCTGTGGACTGGGGAATTCTGGGAGTTGAAGTCCATAGATCCTAAAGAACCCGAGGCTGGACACCCTATTTTATAGTCTTGTTTTGCGATGGGCAACATATACATTTAATAAATACGTAAGGGTTAGGTCTATACATATGTTGTACATAGCATGTTTAAATGGGTATTATGCATGTATACACTTTTGAGAGCAAGCAACTGCATTCCATTTTTAATGTGTGCCATTGTGCCCACAGTAAAAAATGACAATAAAGGTTATCTAAATAAATAATAATAATAAAAAAGCACAGCTGACGGACGGTCCTTGCTGACTCCCACCCTCTCTACGAAGCTTTGGGATGGTTTAGAAGCCCCCTCCCCCCAAAAAGAATCCCAGCTCACAAACAGGGCCGGGGACTCTGCTTGGGCCCAACCAGCGCTTTGAGCCGAGCCTACCTCGCAGTGTTGTTGTGCAGGTGAAAAGAAAGGGGTGAAAGGGCGAACCTGGTCCGTCGCACGGCACACCTGAGCGGGTCTGATTAATGAACTACCCGCAGTCCTCAACCTACGACCAGAACTGAACCCGAGTTTAGTTGCTAAGCCAGGCGGCTGTTGAATGAGTTGTTAAGCGAATCACTCCAGTTGCCCACTGAGCTTCATGGTCGTTAAATGAACTCACCTTCCTCCAATGACTTTGCTTGTCAGAAGCCAGCTGGGAAGGTCGCAAATGGGGATCACCTGACCCTCCCCCCCCCCCCCGGGACGCTGCAACGATATGAGCCAGTTGCCAGGTGCCTGAATTCCAACTATGTGACCAAAGGGCAGCTATGACGGTCGTTAAAAGTGAAAAAGGATCATTAGTCACTTTTTCAGTGCGGTTGTCACTTCAGTCAATAAACGAATGAGTGGTCCTCGACTTACAACCGTTTGTTTAGTGACGGCCCAGAAAAATGTGACTTATGGCTGTTTTTCTCACTTATGACCGTGGCAGCCTCCCCACGGTCACGTGATCAAAATTCAGACGGTTGGCAGCAGACTCCTACTTATGACGGTTGCAGCGTCTCCCGGGATCACGTGATCCCCTTTTGCGACCTTCCGACAAGCCAATTCAATGGGGAAGCTGGATCAGCTTAACGACCACATTCCTAACTCATCAACTACAGTAAGGTAACTGCAACTTTAACCAGTAAGGCAAGAAAGGTTGTAAAACGAGGCAAAACTCACTTAAAAGCCACCTCACTTAGCGACAGAATTCCTGTGCTCAGTTGTGGTCGTACCTCAAGGACTCCATGTATCGTGGGAACTTGCAGAAACAACCCCCCCCACTGCTGTCCCTCTTCTCTCCTCTCCTGTCCCCCCTTTGCAGGAGCTATGAGGAGCCCCGCGGAGCCACTGAGCGCACTTGGCCGCTGGTACCTGTATGCGCTGCATGGCTACCTGGCGGAGATGCTGTTCACGGCCGCATGGGACTTCGCGCTGGACCGGGACTGGCGCCTCCGCGGGGGGAGCAGCCTGTGGGCGCCCCTCATCTACGGCACCTGCGGGCTGGCCCTGGAGCGCCTCTACCTGCTCCTGCGGGACTACTACCACCTGCCCACCCGTGCCGCCCTCTACACCGCCGTCATCTACCTGTGGGAGTTCACCACAGGCTACCTGTTGCGCCGGGCGGGTGCCTGTCCCTGGGACTATGGCCACTTCCGCTACAACCTGCTGGGGCTGGTCACGCTGGAGTACGGGGGCTTCTGGTACCTGGGCTCCATCCTGCTGGAGACCCTCGTTATCCGTAACGTGCTCCGGCTCCGGGTGGAGGGCGCGGGGAAGCCTCGCTGGGCCCAACCTGCCTTTGCCCGCCAAGAGGACTGAGATGGGGAGGGGGGAGGGAAGGACAGCCTCCCCTTTCTTCCCGGAAGACCCACCCCCTGTTCCTGCCCAGTAGACCCCCTCTCCCCCCCCATTTTTGCCTTGGAGACCCTCCCTGCTTCTGTCTGGGAGACCCACCTGTTTCTTCCCAGAAGACCTACGTCCTCTTCCTACCCAGGAAACAACCCCCCATTCCTGCCCAAGAAGCACACCACCCCCCAGCCTTCCCCCCCTTCATGAAACATGAGAAAGGCGCCTGGTTTTGAGTGACAAGCCCTGGCCTTGGTCAAGGAAGGCAGAAGCTGCAAAGCAAGTGACCTCTTGGACCACACACACCCTTTCTTTCCTGCCTGGGGCACACAGGTAGTCCTCAACTTACGACTCCAACTTAACCCAAAATTTCCATTGCTAAGCAAAGTAGTTAAGTGAGCTTTGCCCCATTTTACCACCTTTCCTGCCACAGTTGTTAAGCGAATCACTGCATTTGTTAAGCGAGTAACACGGTTGTTAAGTGAACTTGACTTCCTCACTGCTTATCAGGGGGCTGCAAAAGAGGATCACGTGACCCCCTGGGACACAGCAACCGTCATAAATAGGAGCCAGTTGCCAAGGGTCTGAATTTTGATTCGGTGACCATGAATGGAGGCTGCAATGGTCCTAAATTGGAAAAATGATAAATCACTTTTTTCAGTGCTGTTATAACTTTGAAGGTCACTCAATTAACGGTTATAAGTCAGAGTGCAGAAGGACAGCTTCTGCACTCTACCTTACCTGTACAGGTGATCCTGGTTTCCAACTCAGCTCAGTGGGAAAAGAGCTTGTAATGGACAGTGGTCAATCTCTGGTGTGGTTCTCTCTTAGAACTAAGCCAGGGAATAAAACCACCATTGGTTGGGTTTGTCCAGAGCTGGACAACTTGAAACACCAGTGCAGGATTGGCCCTTAAAACATTCAAAACTTTGTTGACTGGATTGTAATCTTCAAAAAGAAAAAGCCATGAATTCCACAAAGTGGAGTAACCCCAAAGACATGTATTGACTTCTAATTAAAGGGACATTAATTGAAATGTTGTTTTGGTCCCGGTCCCATCCTCTGTTTTGGAGAGTGTGATGTTTGCCTGCAATTTTTGGCCTAAAAACTTTTCGATTCCATTCAGAATTTTTTTCAGCCCATGAGAAACCTTGGTTTGCAAAGCAACACAGCTGGTTTGAGTGACAACCTAAAATAAACCCAAATGAATCACAGTTTGGCTTAGCAGGATGTGGGGACCCAATTCCAGAATAGCTTCACACCTAATTTTAAGGCAGGAGTGTCCGACTTGGGCAACTTAAAGACTTGTGGGTTTCAACTCCCAGAATTCCCCATCCAACAAAGCTTGTGAAGTCCACAAGTCTTAAAGTTGCCAACCCTGCTTTAAGGCATGATGGTTTAACCACAGTTCCCTGGCTGAGCCACAAAAGTATTGGGCTTTGCCCCAGATTGCTAGGAACAAACCCAGTTTTTCAAGCTAGGGTTCGTGCAAACATGCTATACATTGAAAAACCACACATCACTTAGTGCAATATTAAGAGTGGGATGCCTGCTTCTACTCTAATCCGTGGTGTCACCTGGCCAGGTGGACATGGGGGATTAAGGAAATTGGAGCACACAGAGGAAGGATTACAGGCTGCACGCATCACTCCCAGCCAAATGTTAGTGTTGAAAAGATACGTACAACACTTACACCTACATGCACAACAGATGTGAAAAGTCTGTGCCAAACGAACCCACTTCAAAGTTCTCAATTTTCTGGGCTAGGCTGGATTGGACAGAAGGTCCAGCTTGTTTGTGTTGCCTTCTGTTGTCCTTTTGTGGCTGGACAGAGAGTTGCCCTCCATCCATAGGAGAGCGTGTCCAAGTGGGGTCTTTGACGAAATGCTGGCTCTGCGGGATATTTTATTATTTTATTTTGTTTTATTTTATATTTTATTTTATTATTTTATTTATTTTACTTTATTTTTACTTTACTTTATTACTTTATTTATTTTATTAGTAATCATCGATTTACGAGCACAACTAAGCCCAACATTTCTTTTGCTAAGCAAGACATTGGTTAAGTGAATTTTGCCCCATTTTACAACCTTCTTTGCCACAGTTGTTAAATGAATCACTGCACTTGTTTAGTAACACAGTTGTTAAGTGAACGCGGCTTTCCCTGTTGACTTTGCTTGTCGGAAGGTCACAAAAAGTGATCATCTCACCCTGGGGCACCGTGACCGTCATAAATAGGAGTCAGTTGCCATGTGTCTGAATTTTGTTCACGTGACTATGAGGATGCTGCAACTGTTGTGTGAAAAGCGGTCACAAGTTGCTTTTTTCAGTGCTGTTGTAACGGTCACTAAACGAACTGCTGTAAGTTGAGGACTATCTATAGATCTTTCCAGATTGCACAATTCTGTGCTTTTCTCCTTGGTTGTGAAAAATTGTCCCAGTTCTCTTTTAGTGTTTTAGCTTTTCCTGCTTACCTCTTCTGGACATGGGGGGCGGGGGGGGGGGCAGAGAAGCGGACTGCCACCCTGTAATAAAACTTTGATTGGATTAAATGGGATTGGAAGCCACTGTACTAACCTGACATTCCAGCGGGAACCGGCCACAGGACCGGATAATCGTAAAGCCTTCAATTGGCTCAATTAAGCCTGACCCAGATGGGCGGGTGATTTGCAAAGAAGGATCAGTTGATCCCTCTGCGGAAGTGCTGGCCAAGATGCAGCCAGAGAAGGGATCCGCAGCTTAACTTGGGGGTGTTTCCCTCCTCTTCCTCCTCCGTGGACGGTTTGAGTCAGCTCAACTCCTCCTGGGGTGGGGGCCGCCCCTAAAAGCCTCCTTGCTCAGCCTTGCTTTGCAAAGCACAACGTGGGATGGAGAGGAATCTACTCTGCACATGCTCCAAGTCTCTTTATTCTTGGCCCCTCTGGTGCACTGCATGCGCTGGCCGGCAGAGGGCATGAGAGCCACGGCCGGGAATAGATCCCCGTGAAACTGGCTGGGAAGGGGGAACCGGGATGGGGAGGGCAGACGGGCAAGCCTGGTGGGGAGAGACGGGATCCGGCGGGGAAGATGGCTCTGTTCCGGGCACTTCTGTCCGGTGCAGGGGATTTAGGGTGGAGGGTCATGTAAACGGGCCCAGCGCTTAACCACCAGCTTCCCAATTTAACAGCGGAAGTGATTCAGTTAACAACCACCGTGGCAAGAAAGGTCGTAAAATGCGGCAAAACTCACTTGACAAATGTCTCACTTAGCCACATACACTTTGGGCTCAATTGTGGGGGTACGTCGAGGACCACCTGTATTTCTGGAGGATGCTGCAGGTGCCGATCCAGACTGCGCAAGAAGACCCTCCTCCTCCTCCTCCGATGGCTCTAACTAACTTGCCACAACAATGGAGAAACTGAGGCCCCAGCAAGAGGAAGTGACTCACCTACTAAGTTGGGGGTGGAAATAGGAGTTCCCTTGTTTGTGCCTCCAACCACTAGGCATCATTCCCCTCCCGATGAGGATAGAGGCTACTGGTGGTGCTTCCCGGCCCAATCTTTCCAAAGTGCCAGCCGCGGAGGGCAGCCTGGGCACCGAACAGGCACCTTTAGGAGGGTAAGTCACTCCACAAGGCTGCTGACACGGGGGTAGCAAGCCTGAGAGAGGGAGGAGAGAGAGAGAGAGAGAGAGAGAGAGAGAGAGAGAGAGAGAGAGAGAGAGAGAGAGAGAGAGAGAGAGAGAGAGAAAGAGAGAGGCTGCAGGGCAGGGGAAGCACAGGGGTGCCCGAGGCAGGGTTCAGCTGCAGTTCCCCAGGCTCTCCCTTTCCTACAGCCATCCCGGCTGAGGATGATGGAATGATCATGCTGCCCATGCAGAGCCCCTCCCCCTTCTCCTGAATCCCGGAGGCTTCGTGTTTTATCCAGCCATTTATTGCTCCGGAGGTTTACAATATAAGCATCAAAGTGTCAGATATGGGAACACGAACTCCTGTGCCTGTTTTTAAGGCAGTTGTGAATCTGGGCAAGAAGGTCATTTTGACAATGGGGGCAGTGGGGGGGGATGGCAGCGCTCAACTGGCTTCAAGCCCCCCCACCCCCTTAGTGATGACACTTGGATCCAGTCGCTCTCCCTGTTTGCCACCTTCAACAGCTGAAGAAAAGGGACTGGTGGATAGAGATACCACCAGAAGTAATGGGACAGTAACAACTTTGCAAGGGGTTTTAAAGGCACTGGTGGAGCCTCTGTGTACAGGGGCTCTCTACCATGAGATCTCTCTTCCCGCAGGGGGAATACTGCCCTGTGGGGTCAAAGGTGGGCTGTTGTGAGGAACAAAATTGCAAAAGGCAAATTTGGGGGCAGATTCAGCCCAGCCCTGCTTGCAATGTTTTGCTTCGCTGCAGAAGAAGGTGGAGGAACCAGTCTGAGCTGCACCACAACCTTAGCTGGTAAAACCAACCCACTGGAGATCTGCTGACCTCTTTATCTCGCTCCTTTGTCTCACCTCCCAATAATTTCCTCACGGTTTCAAAACAAAAAAAAAGACCCACGCTTCTAGCCCTCAAGATGCAAACAAACATGAATTTAAAAGCGTGCAAGGAGTAAAGGGGAGGAAGAGAAGGGGGGGGCAATATATTTGCCTGGTCTTCTCTCCCTTCCTCTGAAAATAATAAAGGGGTAAAAAAGGGCAGATTAGGTTCAAACTGAATCCTTTGGTTACAAATCTGTAAGAGGCAAGACCTCTTTTTCACCAGAAGGAAAAATAAGGGTAAGCACCTAGTCCTCATGAAAGCTGGTGAACCTCTCAGCAGACTAGAGAGGGTGCTGTGAGATGTGTGTGGCCCTCCCATGGATTGATTGGTGGCTAAATCGACATGTCGCCCGTCTCTCCGTCCAAAGTGAGGAACATCGGCTAAGCATTCAGTGCAGGGCTGTCCAACTGTGGCTACTTTAAGACCGGTGGACTTCAACTCCCAGAATTCCCCAGCCACCTGGGCAGACTGTGGGTTTGCAGGAGGGGAGGGGTGTTTTCCCCCTAGAGGTGCCAATTCCCACCTGCTTTTTTCTCCCGGCCTGCAGCTCGCCCGCCATGGAGGCCTCCGCAGAACCGCTGAACCTGCTCTGCCGCTCCTACATCTACGCCATCCACGGCTACTTCTGCGAGATCCTTTTCGTGGTGCTTATCCTGGACCAGGACTGGATCTTCCAGGGGGCCCTCAGCGCCTGCTCCCTCCTGGTCTACGGGACCTGCGGGCTGGGCATGGAGGGCATCTACCTGCAGCTGCGGGGCGACTGCTGCCTGCTGACCCGCTGTGTCCTCTACACCGGCTGCATCTACCTCTGGCAGTTTGTCACCGGCTACCTGCTGCGCTGCCTGGGCGCCTGTCCGTGGGACCACGGCCACTTGCGCTACAACTTCATGGGCCTTGTCGCCCTGGAGCACGGCCTGCTTTTTTTTGTGGGGGCCCTCCTGCTCGAGAGGCTGGTCATCGCCCCCACCCTGCGCCTGCGCCTGGGCCCGGTCTGGAAAGCCAAGGAGCGCCCCCTCCCCAAGTTCGAGCTGATCCACGACTGACCCCGCAGCTACACCAGGCAGCAAAGGGAGGGAGTGCCTGCTCCCACCAGCTCCTGTTCTCCAGCCCCTTTCTCAGGCCAGACAAGGCCGCTGGACCTGTCTGCCGGGCTGGGGAGGGGCTGCAGCTGGACCTGGGCAGGGAGAGCCGAGTTTGAAACCTCACCAAGCCAGAAAGTTAAGTCAGCCTTGCTTTGACCTACCTTGCAAGACTGTTGTGAAGACAGGCTGGACGAAGGCGCTGGAAGCTCCTTGGAGGGAAGGCAGAGGCTCCAGATGCCAATAGGAATTGCGACTGTGGTTTGGGGTCGGTTTTGTGATGCAGGGATCTGTTTTTTAAAAGAGCAAGTGAGTTGGACGGGGCCTTGGAGGTCTTCTAGTCCAACCTCTGCTCAAGCAGGAGAATTAAAACGGAAGGAGAATAACAAGCGGAAATTCGGAATTAAAGTCCCTAATCCACAGGAAATGGAGCCAGCAAAGGGCGATATTAAAAGGCCAAGGCCCCCTCTTCCCGCGTTCTCTGGGGGGCAAAAAGGGACCCATTCACACGGCTCCTTGGCTGCTCCGGAAGCTCGCTGTTCCCAAACGTGGGAGAGCCAAACTGCCCCGCAGCTCTTTAGGGCCCTTGGGAGCCGGGCGGCACATAAATCCCATGAACGAATATTATTGTGGGCAATGAGCCCCTCGCACCGCCGGCTGGAGAGGCCACTCGGGCTGGGTGGCTTTGGAAGGCCGGGCCGGGTCGTCTGAACGGGAGGCGCCTCGTGCAGGCAGCGTTCGGATGGAGAAACGGAGGTGGCTCGCTCGTCCTCACAGAGCCGGGACCTTTGGGCTCGCCGTTTGGGGTCAGGAGACGCAGGGCCCCCCGCCCCGGATGAGGGGCTCCCCCGCCGCCCCAGCACGGCAGCGCAGCCTCGGCAGAAACGTTGCGGGACGCGGTCGGCTCGGGACACGTGTGAAGAGCCCAAAAGGCCGCGAGCTAACCCAAGGGGGGGGGGGCTCCTCCCTGACACGCAGGCGCCCCTCCTTGCCTCCCCCTCCCCAATTCGCCCTGCTGGCTTGGTCCCCCGTGGGCGAGGCCCGCGGCTCTGGGAAGGCGGGAAACCAACCCAGTCAATGGGACGCTGCCCCTCCCCTAAATGCAAGCCCCCAGACCCTTCTTTGGAGGCAGGGGTCCCCAGGGGGAAAGCCTTCTGTTGACGCCCAGGGAGGAAATATGGAACCAAAGACCCCCCCCCAAACCAGTCTGCCCCCCCCCCCCAATGTTGATGGGATGAGGAGGGAGAGGCAGACCATTGAAAGCAGCCGCATCTGCATCTCTGGCCGCTGCTCCCCTCGGCTCTTTGGTCATTCGTGGCACCCTCGCCCGCTTTCCCTGCCCGTAATCCCCGGACTCCCGGGGACTTTCCGAAGGCGTCGCGTTTCCGAGTTTTCCCTGCTGCACAAAGACGCGTCTTGTTGGCCAGCAGGACGCGGTTTGTGTTCCCACAGCCACTTCATTGGGTGGCTAAGTTTAGCTTCACGCCCTGGATCTTGGTCAGACGTTGCTAATTCGAAAGAAACTCACTGAGATTACAAAATTGGACATTTGGTTCGCTTTGGGAGGGAAGCGGTCAAACTTCGGCTGGCCCGCCAAAAGGTCTCAGCTCGGAGATCCGGCGCTGCTCGTGCGAATGCTGGCTTACGAGATGAATGGCTTTCGTTTGGGGAGAGAGTGGCGCCGTCTAGTGCCGAAGTGTAGTCTCTGCAGCAGCCTTTCTGCAGCGCCATCTGGAGGTGAGAAGAGGCTGGCGGAGAGCCAGTTGCTGGCTTGGCCTTCTTCAGCTTGACTTCGGGGGGGGGGGGGGTGTTGCTTAAAAGTTGTTGTTTTATCCATACTGGGCCACATTAACCTGTAACTAACCCAGAATTCCCCAGCCAGCATGTGCGGACTTCAGATCACAGAAATCCCCGGCCAGAACACTGGCTGGGGAATTCTGGGAGCTGAAGTCCAAATATCTAAAAGTTTCCCACTTTGGCAAAAACCCTGCTTCAAAGCGTGGCATTTGCTGAGGCAGGAAACGGATGCGAATCCTGTATCATTGACCAACATGTTAGCAACTTGCCATAAGACCAGCCACGAGCAACAGAGGGTTCGTTTTTGACCTGACTCCTGATGACATCAGGGGTGCCGCTGTAAGTTCTCCCCCACAAAAGTCTGGGCAGATTTGTCTTCTTTCAATGTGTTTTTTTTCCCCTCTTCAGTTCTCCACTTTGGATCTCCTGATGGCCTCCCTTCCTAAGATTAAGCCAAGTCAATGCCTTTGCAACTTCAGTCACTAAGTGAATGGTTGTAAGACGAGGAGCACTTCTAGGCAAACCCAGCCTGTGGCAATTTATTTACTAAGCCGGGTCCTTGTGTGGGGCGGGGGGGGGAGAGGGAGTCAGGGTCTGAGAGGCTGGCCTGGGTGCCAGGTGGGAGTGGCATCCATGCGCTCTGTGCATGGCTGGCAAGCAGGCAGGGAGGGGCTCCCCGATCAGGCCTGTGTCTGCCCTGGGCGGTCCCTTTCTTTCCTTTTCGGTCTTTGTTTTTAATCTTCCCAGCTCAGAACAGTCTGTTCCACTGTTGTGGTTGTGCTCATCGGGAGGTGTTTCCGTGTGTGTGTGTGTGTGACGATGCGCTGTGACCATCTGCACCAGAGCAGTTTCCATTGATCGGTGTCAGGACAGGGAGGAAACCGAAAGCCGAGTCTTCCTCTGCCCGAACAAGGTGGCCGAAGGACAGAAAAAGCCGGCCCAGGCAAGGGGGGGGGGAACCGCAGGACCACAGGCGGGGGGGGGCAGCGGGGAGGGGAAGCTCTGCGCAGTCAGCAGGAAGCTCTTGTTAACACACTTGTCCTGTTAAAAACAAACGCCTGTCTCCAAGGAGACGTTGCTCTTATAATAATAATAGAATAGAACTGGAAGGGACCTTGGAGGTCTTCTAGTCCAGCCCCATGCTTAAGCAGGAGAACCTATGCCATCTCAAACAAGTGACTGTCTAGTTGGTTGAGGAGGGGCACGGAATAGGCAGTCCTCAACTTTCAACAGTTCATTTAGTGACCGAAGTCACAATGGCATTGAAAAAAAATGACTTATGACCGCTTTTCACACTTACGACGGTGGCAGCATCCCCGTGGTCAGGAGGTCAACGTTCAGATGCTTAGCCAGCATTCCTGAGGGTCGCGGAGTTCAAGGCCAGGTGGCCCCCACTCGGGAGCTTCCCAGCCAGCCTCCTACAAAGAAAATCTCTGGGGAAATCCAGATTCTCTTAACAACCGCACCATTCACTTAACGACTGCGGCAATTTGCCTAAATTGGGCACAACTCACTTAACAATGGCCTTGCTTAACAATGGAAATTCTGGTCCCCTGTTGTGGTCATAAAATGAGGACTACTTGCTTGGGTTGCCAACTATCCTAGAAGAAAGAGCCAGGCTGCTTTCTTGGGGGGTCCATAGGAGAAGCTTCACAACCCACAAGTCACCCCATTGACGCCCCAAGTTCAGATGAGAAATTCAGAAGATGTCCAGACATTGAGAGCTTCTGCACCGGAGACAAATTCGTTGTGTGTCTCATCACACTTGGCCAAATGAAGAATCTTCTCTCTTCTCTTCTCTTCTCTTCTCTTCTCTTCTCTTCTCTTCTCTTCTCTTCTCTTCTCTTCTCTTCTCTCTCCTCTCCTTCTCTCCTCTCCTCTCGCTGTAAATCAACCTGAGAAGCTTTTTGCTGTACCAAGAGCCTGCAGTCACCCTTCCCTTTATGCCCCCCCCCATCTCCCCTTAGCAGAAATCCAGCTGAAAAAAACCCCCCACCAATCCAGGAAGCACCAGGCTAAATATATCACCCCCGTTGCACAAAGCTGAGGCTGGGGAAGTTTTCGAGAAGGCTGGCGGCTGAATTTCAAAGATTGCTCAAGCGGCCTTAGCAAAATTGGAGCCGTGGGTCTCTTGCCAAAGACCAGCTCTGCCCTCCCAGATCTCTGTGGTGTTTTCTAATGCCTGCAAAAGCCATTTCCCCGGTGGAGGATGGCAACGCTAGCCGCTGGAGGAGTGACCTGCGCCTCGGCTTCCCGCAGTGACCTCAGTGGGAGACTCTCAGTAGCCTTAACCAAGTCAGGTCAAAATCTAGCCTGGTTTGTTGGCTTTCCTGCGGCTTGGTGGGTGGTCCCAGCCCTGTCGGGGTCATGAATGATCCGAAGTATTGGTCAAAGCTAAAGAAGAGAGAGAGAGAGAGAAAGAGAAACAGAGATGCAAAAAGATTTTTTAAAAAAGAAAGCAAAACAAAAGTATATACAAAGAATTCTTTTTTCTTCTTCTTCCTCTTTCTTCTTCCTCTTCTTTTTCTTCTTCTTTCTTCTCCTTCCTCTTCCCTCCTCCTCCTGGCAGCACCCTGCCCCTGCCCCCCCCCCAGGCCCAGTCTGCAAGAGTCCGGCTGCTGCCACGCAGGACGCCAGTCCTGGGACGTGTCTCTCGTCAAGCAGCAACTGCAGCAGCATTCCAGCTGTTTGCTTTGGAGAGCCTGGCTCCCCCTCCCTTCTTGACCCACTTCGACATTCCTCAAAGGGCCGGAAGGCAGCGGTGCTGACTTGGCCGGCTGGTCTACCTCCCTCCCTGTGCCCCCCTCCTCCTGCTCCAGGGCTGGCGGCCAGCCAGCCTTGGCACAGCCTGCAAGCCTGGTGGGACGTGGTGCTAATCCTCGTGCCCTCCTCCTCCTCCCGCTTTGCAGCCAGCAGGCTGGATTTCCGGGTCAGCCTCAAGGCCGGATCGCCTTAAGGCTGGAATGTGGCACCTTGGCTGGGCTGGAAACCGAAGACTCCTGGGAATAACAAGCACCTAGGTCAGGGGTCTTCCAGCTTGGCAACTTTAAGACTTGTGGACTTCAACTCCCAGAATTCCTCAGCCAGCCCTCAGGGCTGGCTGAGGAATTCTGAGAGTTGAAGTCCACAAGTCTTAAAGTTGCCTAGGGCAAAGGTGGGATTCCAGGGGACCAGGCAGACCCCAGAGGACAGTCATGGGGCGGAGTCTGCTATCTACAGGTAGTCCTCAACTTACATTCATTTAGCAACTACTCAAAGTTACAGGGGCGCTGAAAAAAGTGACTTCTGATCAGTCCTCCCAGTTACAACGGTTGCAGCATCCCCGGGGTCACGTGATCAAAATTTGGGCACCCAGCATCCAGCACCTATTTACGGCAGCTGAAGCCCCCCTCCCTTCCCGGGGCCGTGTGGTCGCCATTTCCACCTTCCCAGTCAGCTTCTGACAAGCAAAACCAACAGGGGATTTTCTTAGCGCCCGTGTGCTTCGCTGAACAAATGCAGTGACTCGCTTAGCAACTTGTGCAAAAAAACCCCTGTAAAGTCGGGCACAACTCACCCAGCACCTGGCTCAGGAATAGAAATTCGAGTTGTGGTTGTTAAGTCCGAGTCCACCTGGGTGAGGCCCTGAGGTTCCTGCAGCAAATGGGGGGGGGGACGGACCAATAGCTCTGCTGTGTCCCCCACCCTTTCCGTTTGGGCAGCTCACATATTTTCCAACCGGTGATGCAACTGGCTTGCTTTGTGGTTGCAACACACACACATACACACATCCGCTATGTGCAAAAACAGGTTCCACTTCAGGGCTGAGAGCGAAACGTGCCATAGGGACCTCGCTAGATGTGTTGATCGAAGGTTTTGCTTGTCGGAAGGTCGCAAAAGGGGATCACCTGACCCCGGGATGCCACGACCGTCATAGATGCGAGTTAGGTTGGCAAGCGTCTGAATTTTGATCACATGACCGCGGGGAGGCTGCAACGGTCATGAGTGTGAAAAACGGTCATAAGTCGCTTTTTCCAGTGTTGCTGTAACTTTGAATGGTCACTAAAGGAACAGTTGTAAGTCAAGGACTACTTGTATGGGTTCTGCTCGAGCAGGAGGCTGGACTAGAAGACCTCTAAGGTCCCTTCCAACCTTATTATTCTGTGTTGTGAGTCCAGGATACAAAGGTACCAAATGGACAGGGCCACCATCTGAAGAAGGTGCTCCCCAGGCAGGCGATCCAAGCATGGGTTAATTTTTCTGCAAGGCTGCCAAATCAGGTCAGGCCACTGCAGATTCCATTTCCCATGTCATGCAAAGCCATGATTGTCTCCACCACGAAACGCCCAGAATACCACAATGTGACGGATTAACTCAATGCATTAAACCACAAATAACAGCCTGCAAGCCACAATAGCTGGTTGGCCTGTCACATCAAGTCAAGAGCCGACCAACCCCATTGTGGCTGTGTGCGATGTGTGAGCTCAGCCACACATGCGCGCGCACACACACACACACACACACCCGTGTGCCCAAGACCATCTCCTTTGAAAGGACGTTGCAGAGATGGGGCCGAGGGGAGGGTTCTGAAGGTGCAGGATGCCTTCAGAGGGGACTCCAGAACAGACTCTAGAACAGGGGTGTCCAACCTTGGCAACTTTAAGACTTGTGGACTTAACAGAATCACAGAGTTGGAAGGAACCTTAGAGGTCTTCTAGTCCAACCCCCTGCCCAGGCAGGAGACCCTCGACCAATTCAGACAAATGGCTGTCCAGTCTCTTCTTCAAAGCCTGCAGGGATAAAGCACTTATAAATTCTGGTGGCAAGCTGTTCCAGTGGTTGATTGTTTTTCCTGTCAGGAAGTTTCTCCTTAGTTCCAGGTTGCTTCTCTCCTTGATGAGTTTCCATCCGTTGCTTCTTGTCCTGCTCTCAGGGGCTTTGGAGAATAGCTTTACTCCAGCTCCCAAGGCTGCTTCTGATCTCCCCCCAAAAAAGAACACCTGAAGGGCTGGATTTGGGAGTCCTACCTGAGACAGGTGAGGCCTGGGATGCCTTACTGACTCTCTCCATTAATATCCTTCCATCCATTTGCAGGTGAACGCCCAGCCCAGCCAGTGCCAACTCTTCCCTTCTCTTCCTGGTCTGGCCCATCCCTGATGTCACCTTGATCTTCTTCAAGGAGGAAATTGAGGCAACCCAGCTCTTCTCATTTCCCATCATCCCTCCTACACGGTGTCTGTCTTCAGCATGCTGGGAAATTAGCTCAGAGCAGGGTGGAGGAGGCGGCGTTGGCCAACGTGACGTTCCAAGCTCAGCTTGATTTGTATAAATTGTGAAATTCCATCTTGAAATCTCAGCTGTGTCTGCAGCTACCATCATGTTGAAATGCAAGTGCGGTCTGCTTGCTTTGGGGCTTCTCCTTTGCTGCAAACCAAACTAATTGTGGGATCAACCTATTTTCCAAAGCACCAAAAGCAACCGATGGAAACTCATCAAGGAGAGAAGCAACCTGGAACTAAGGAGAAATTTCCTGACAGGGAGAACAATTAAATCAGTGGAACGGCTTCCCTCCAGAACTTGTGGGTGCTCCATCGCTGGAGATTTTAAAGAAGAGATTGGACAGTCATTTGACTGAAATAGTACAGGTCTCCTGCTTGAGCAGGGGGTTGGACTAGAAGACCTCCAGGGTCCCTTCCAGCACTATCATTCAGCTAATTAATTAGTGGAACTGCTTGCTTCCAGAGGTTCTGGGACCTGAAAACCACAAATCTTAAAGTTGCCAAGTTTGGACACCCCTTCCCTACGCCGTTCCACACAAATAGCTTTCCCATCTCTTCTCAAAGACCTTCAGTGATGGAGCACCCACAATTCCTGGAAACAAGCCGTTCCCCTGGTTAATTGTTCTCACTGTCAGGAATTTCTGCTTAATTCTAGGTTGGCTTTCCATAACTTCCTTCTGCTGGAGGAACAGAGGCCGTTGGTCAGCCTGGGGACAAATGACTGTCTAGTCTTTTCTTGAAAACCTCCAACGATGGAGCGCATAAAAGAAAACCAAAGGTAGACAAACATCCATAATGCTCAAAAACAGCTTCGGGCCTTGTCTGGACGGGTTTTGCCTGCTGGGTACTGCAGGACTTGAAAAGCGAAAAAGGAACACCCTGGAACTCAGCTCTTTCCAGGGTGTGCTCCTGATTTGTTTACTTGGCAAGCCACAAGGCGCTCTGCCCAGGAGGTGCCACCTTGGAGGCCCACCCAGCAGCGAGTCGTAGCAGCCAGGAAAGCAGCCCAACAGGTTCTCCCAGTCCAGGCACCCTAATATGGGTGTTCCTCCTTAGGCGCCCGTCAGCTGGCACTACACTGGGTGCAGGAATGTGCTGGCGCCACACCCTGCTTGCCTTGAGAGCTGCTGACGCAGGAGGCACCGGGCGCCAAACCCAACTGCTTATTACTGCAGCTCGCAGCTCAGCAGCTGTTTTATTTTTACTGGGGGATGTTGTGACGTGTCTGTTCTATGCAAGCCGAGAGTCTTGGCAGCCAAAGTGATGTAGAAAGATCTGGTCCTTTTTTTCAATTCCTGGTTCACCCAAGACTGGAGTTCCCCAGCCCGCCATATTTCTCCATTCCCTTTTAGGGCGCGTCCCTTGCTTTATTCCCTTCCTCCACTCTTTTTCCCTTGAGGCATCCGATGTGCTCAGGATTTAAATCCCACCTGAATGTGACACGTGCTCTCCTTGACTGAAGTTCCTTTCTGAAGTATTAGTATTGCTTTAGGAAAGGAAGGCCACACCTGGAATATATTGCATCCAGGTTTGGTCACCACGTTACAAAAAAGATGTTGAGACTTTGGAAAAAGTGCAGAGAAGAGCAACTAAGATGGTGAAAGGCCTGGGGACAAAAACATATGAAGAATGACTGCAGGACTTCAGTTTGGCTAGTGACTAGTCACCAGTCTAAAGAAAATAAGAAATAGGGGAGACATGATAGCAGTATTCCAGTATTTGAGGGGCTGCCCCAAAGAAGAGGGGGTCACGTTATTCACCAAAGCACCAGAGGGCAGGACAAGAAACAATGGTTGGAAACTAATCAAGGAGATAAGCAACCTGGAATTAAGGAGAAATTTCCTGTGACAACAATTAACCAGTGGAACTGTTTGCCACTAGAAATTGTGGGTGCTCCATCACTGGAAGCTTTTAAGAAGAGACTGGAAAGCCATTTGCCTGAAATGGTGCAGGGTCTCCTGCTTAAGCAGGGGGCTGGACACTAGAAGACCTCCAAGGTCCCTTCCAGCTCTATTCTTTTTGATTGAAGTAGGAAATTATTTTTTAAGATTTTCTAAACAAGCATAGACACGAGCAGACAAGATTTTCTGATCCTCGGATTTATTATTAACTGAGTATTGGTTGCACCATTATTTTTTGGAGATTCAGAAAAGAAGTAGCAAAGTCTCTTTTTCCAGCAGAGAAAAAAAAGCTAGCATTTGGAACCATTTTAAAATCGTAGCAGAATCTCATTTGCTTTGTAATTCACACACAAAAATATATAGATATTATATATATATATTATTCTGGAATATTACAAAAAAAGATAAATACAATATAAAATTTATGAATAAATAGACTCTATAAATAGTTTGGTTTTGGTTATTGCCTTATTACAAAGTAAACATTTGAGGATTTTTAAAAACAACAACACCCACCACAAAATGACACGCAAGTGTGACCAGCATCGACATAAGCTTAGAAACAAAAGGCTTCCTTCCTCCCCAACCGGTCTCCATCAGTGCAAAAATGTCTAATTTAACTGAGGTTAAAGCAACAGGACACCGTTTTCCGTGCTGCTTGAATACTGGACTTTGTGGACACTAAAAAAAAAATAAACTTCCTGCCAGTGTCATTCCATTTGGCATCTGGTTGGCCAGCTCCAAATCCTCCTCTACGTGGGGACGGAGGAGCAGAATTCCCAAAGACTGAATTTCATGGAACTGGAGAGTGGGCTAAGAATTTCCTTGGGTGACAAAGTCTGGAATTCGTCAATTTGGAATATTGGACGTCCATTTTAGTGCAGATCTCAGTTTCCTGTGGAACAGGGATGAACAATTGCGGCCTGACATTGTTTTTGATCAATCCAAGATTCAGTTTAATATGAATTTCACCCCATTGGAACATGGAGGCAGGTTGGAGACGCATGTCGATCAGATTCAAATTTTCCAATAGGGAAGAATTTTACAGCCGGCAGAGGAATTTGGGAAGGGGTGGAAACCACCTGTTCTTGCAGCAAGGGGATGCACACTTCTTGGGGTTCAGAGCACCCCAAGGGGAAAACATGACTGCCCTGCCTTTATTTCAAAAGCTCCAGAGGGCACAATAAAGGGGGATTAAAAAAACAAAACTCAGCACCTCTCCTTAATTCCCAACCTATTCTTGCTGGAGGATTAGATAAGGAGAGAATATTCACAGTATAAAGCATGTTTTGTTTTAAAGAAAAACAAAATACATTAACAGCCACCAGGACTTTGTCTTAAGTCTTTTTCCCCCAGCTTGATCTGGTTTCCGTGGTGTGAGATTTTTTATTTCCTCCTTACCACTGGAGGAAAAATTTAAAAAAAAAAATAAAGCTGCTACATACAAGTACACTTCCTTTTCTCCCCGGGGCAGTTAACCTTTGGCATAATGCTCAGGTGTTAGAACAGCATTTCTCAATCTCCCCTCACTTGGTTGGACTTCAACTACCAGAATTCCACAGCCAGCTTTGGAATTCTAGGAGTTGAAGTCCAAGCATCTTCAAGTGACTAAGCTTGGAGACGCTGTTATTTATTTATTTATTTATTTATTTATTTATGAGACTTATATACCACTTTAAGTGCAAGCACTCTCTAAGCGGTGTACACCAGTAAGCAATGTATATATATTTACATTGCCCCCAACAATCTGGGTCCTCATTTTACCTACCCCGGAAGGATGGAAGGCTGAGTCAACCTTGAGCCGGTGAGATTTGAACCGCTGACCTGCTGAACACAGTCAGCTAAAGTGGCCTGCAGTACTGCACCCTAACTGCTGCGCCACCTCGGCTCTTTAGAATAAAGAGCAAAGAAAAATCCTCTGTTTGAACTTCTCTAGGTTTTTCCAGGTTGGGGGGGGGAGGAGGAGGAGGCAATTCCTAAAAAGGGAACAATCTCCTGACAGTTGAATTTCTTAAAGGGAGGGGGGAAAGGCAACTGCCCCAAGGGGGTGAGGCAGTTCACCCTCTCAGCTCAGCCCAGCCAGCTGTTTTGTGCAAAACCAGAGAGAAAATTAAATTGACCCCCCCCCCCAGCTTGGTTTCCTGGCTCCCTGAAAGGGGATTTTTGAGACAGTTAAAAGACCCGACTGTCTGATGCAGGCTGCCATAAGGCACTCCTGGGGAGGGGGGGAGGGGAGGTAAGGACCTGGCCCACCTCTGCGCAACTGCTCAATCTGGTGTCCAAGTGCAGATTCTGCTTAAGGCACTATCTGTGAGAGGGAAACTGCAATCATCTGGAACCCCGTTGCCCAGGCCCAGTGAGGGCGGGAAGGCCGGCAGGTGGGAGGCAGGAAAAGCACTGCACCCTCCCACCCCCGCAAAAGAACAGGCAACAGGAGGACTTCAAGAGCAGGCAAAGCCCTGAAAAGCAGCTGGCATCAGTTCAGGCGGGGAGGAAATCCCGTCCAGAGGGCAGCCCCTTCCGTGGCCATCGATGGCCAGCTTGGAACAGTCCCGTCCGGCCCTCAGTCCGAGACCGAAAGCCGGTTGAAGATGGGCAGGCGGTGAGGGGTCCCTGCCGGCCCGCCGATGGGGTGCTGGTCGAAGACAGGCGAGTCGGAGCCGCTGAGGCTGCTGGAGCTGCTGTAGCAGTCGGGGTCCGAGAGCGAGTTGGAGGAGGGGGTCCTGGGCAGGACCGAGGGGGGCGTCCCGGGGGCCGCCGAGAAGTCCCGGGCGCCCTGCAGCGAGCTGCCCAGGCCGGCCGACTTCCGGCAGCGGCAGGAGCAACAGCTGCCGCCGCCACTGCCAAAGAGGGTCCCGGCCAGCGAGTCCCCGAAGGGCGAGAGCAGAGCGAGGGGGTCCCCGGCCAGGTGCTCGAAGGCGGGTGACAGGAGCTCGGCGCAGGCGGGCGGGGGCGAGGCCGAGGGTGCCCGGGCGAAGGAGGCCGGGTCGGGCAGGCCGGGCAGCGGGGAGGCGCGGCGGGTGCTGGGCACCCCGGAAAAGCTGACGCTCTGGCGCAGGAGCTGCGGGCCAGCCCCGCCACTGCCGCAGAGCTGCGCCTCGTCGGGCAGGTGGATGAAGTGGCAGCGGGCGCCGTAGGGACATTCGCCGTGCAGGTAGAACTTGTGGCACAGCTCCGTCTTGTACTTGGGGTGGCGGCTGACGGAGCGCAGCTCGGCCGCACCGTGGGCGAACTGGCACTTGGCGCCGTACTTGCAGCGGCCGCTCTCGCTGAAGGTGCGGCACAGCTCCGTCTTGTAGCGGGACGACGGGGCGGGCGGGGCGCCGGCGGGCTGCTTGAGCGGGGGGAAGCCCGGTGGGGGCGGCAGCGGCGGCAGTGGCAGTGCCCTGCCCTCGATCAGGCTGACCGAGCGATCCGGGCGCAAGGGGGGCCGCGGTTGCTCCCCCTGGGGGCTCCAGGGGCTGCGCAGGGGCCACAGCGCCGAGTCCCCGCTGCCGGGCAGCGCCGGGTCGGAGGAGTGGGCTGAGTGGCCGCAGGAGAAGGCGGAGGCGGGCGCGTCCGGCTCTTCGCTCAGCGAGAGGTTGAACAGGTTCTGCAGTGGGAGGAAGAGGAGGAGAGGTTAGAGACCCCGCAAAAGGACCCCGCTTCGGCCAGCCTTGAATTTATTTATTTATTTATTTATTTATTTATGAGACTTATATACCGCTTTAAGTGCAAGCACTCTCTAAGTGGTGTACACCAGTAAGCAATGTATATATATATATATATTTTACATTGCCCCCAACAATCTGGGTCCTCATTTTGCCTACCCCGGAAGGATGGAAGGCTGAGTCAACCTTGAGCCGGTGAGATTTGAACCGCTGACCTGCTGAACACAGTCAGCTAAAGTGGCCTGCAGTACTGCACTCTGACTGCTGCGCCACCTTGGCGCAAAAGTCCGGCCCGATCCCATCCACAGACTTGTGATCTCTCGGGGAAAACTGGCAAAGAACACACGTCACTCTTGGGCCCCGTTGGCAGCGCAGAATCTCAACCGCTGCTGGAGAAAAGCCGCCTGCTTGGGGGCGCAGCGCCCTAACACCCCCCCCCTAAGCCTGAAGACCCTGAAGCTCACCCAAGCAGGAGGCCACCGGCCTCCGTCCTAAGCCAGGGGCCCCTCTCGTGGGACTGCCAGGCTTGGGACTTCCACAAATTCTTGTCCGGTGAGCCCCCCCGGAAAGCCCTGCCAGAAGGCAGCGGTGGACTGACAGGGAAGCGCAGAAGGGAGCCAGTGTCGGTCGGTGACAAGCGTTGTGTGTGAGTGTGACGTCAGCGGCCTTAATATAGTCCAGGTGAGCTGGGCTGGGGTTATTTTTAAAGAGACTTGTGGCCTGGCCAGCACAGAGCTGCGGAGGGGAACAGCTGCTGGGCGGTGACTCTAAGCCAGAGAGGACGGGCGTGGAGGGGGGGGGACATGGGGGCATAAAAACCTCTCCCTCAGACAGGCACCGTGTCAGGGATAGGACAGCAGATGGCTGCAAACCCTGCTACGCATCAGTGGGCCTCGCACGGGTAACATTCACAAGACCCCAGGCGGCCCCCAAGAAACATTCTGTGCCCCTCCACTTTATGCAACCTAAAAAAAAATCTTTTTCCACCGCGATCAATTCGCTTTTCAACTGAAGGCCAAACTCTTATCCCCCTCTCGAATCAAAGACACTCGTCGTTCAAAAATCCTGTTTGACAACAAAACCGACTTGCTAGGTGCTTTCCCACCTTACACAAACGTGCACAGGGTGGAAAATATGTATAACACACACACACACACCAGGGCCCTCGGAGTGACTGTCAAAACCGACACCAACTTCCTGGAGAAATCTTAAGCCTGGCTGAAAGACCTCTAAAGCTGAAAGTTGCCTGGATTTATTCTTAAACTGGTTTAGAAAAGCTGCGTTGGCCCAACGCCACTGTTGGTGGGGTGCGGTTCGAGGGAGAACCAGCCCCACAAAAACAAGGCAAAAACACCCAGGTTTGATAGCTGAGGTGAAACACTGCAAGGAGGAGGAGGGAAGACTCACAACAGCTCGCAAAAGCTACCATCACAGGAAGCCCCACATTGACCCACCGCCAGTTCTGCCTGCTTTAACCGACCCCCCTTTCATGGACAACCCCCCCAAGTTCTCGCCCCATATTGGATCAACAGTGGGACCCCCGCTGTTTTTTTCCAGCAGGAGATCGAAAGAGGATCTCTTATACAATCTGCTGGAATACCAGATCACCAGCATCCCTGGATCCCGAAAGGGTTTCAGCAGAAAAAGCCTTTCTGCTCCCCCCGCCCGAAGCTCGGAAAGATGCGAGACTGGGGAGGGGTCCTTGCTCCCCCCGCCCACGACACACACACACACACACACACACACAGCATACGAAACTGGGGGAGAAAGTCCTTCGGGAGCTGCGTTTTTTCGGCCCACCGACTGAAAAGGGGGGCTTGGCGCTCGGAAGAGGCTGCGAAGTCGGTCCGCGTTCCCCTCCTCCCCCCGCCCGCCCGCCCGCGCAGGCTGCGCCCGATCTGCCCGCGAAGCCCCGAGCCGGGGCGAGGAGAAGCCGCAGCGGCAGCGACGTAATTCTTGACCTAGAAAAAAAGCCGACCGGGGCCAGCGCTGCGCTTCCTGTTTTTCTCCTCCCCGACGGGGGAGGAGAGGAGGAAGCGCCTCGGCCTTGGCCAAAGGGGCTTCGGGGTGGGGGGATTCAAGCTCTTCCTCCCCTCCCCCGGCGATCCGCACGCTGTCAAAGGCCGGCAATTTCCCACCCACCGAAGACAGAGGTCGGGGACCGCCGCTCCTTCCCAGCCCTGTTCCCCACCGATCGGGTGTCAGGACCCCCTCCCCGCCCCACAATACGGAGGACTACAAAGCCCGCGATGCTCAGCCAGCGGGGCTTCGACGGGGCCGGTTTGGCCCTTCTTGGGGCTTCGGCGGCCCCTTCGGAAAGAAGCGCCGGTCTTTGGAGAACGCCCCGAAGGGGGGGGGGAAATCTTCAACGGAGGTTTAGGGCGGGGTCGCCGGGAGTCCGCGAGAGGCGCGCCGGCCTGCGAGGGCTGCCCGGGGGCTCGGGAGGGACTCCCCCTTCCTCGGCCGACGGAGCTCCGCGTCGAGATCCCAAGCCGCGCCCATCCCCTGCCCAGGATCCGCGCAAGCGGCGGCGGGCAGGAAGCGAGCTGGCCCCGGCTGCCCGAAAGCGCAGCCAGAAGCGGCGGAGCGGCCGGGCTCTTCTCCGGCGGCCGCGGGGCGACGGAGCCCGGGAAGGCGGCTGGCCTCTCACCTGGTAGAGGTTCCGGACGTCCAGAATGGAGCTCATGGTGGCGCCTGGTCGTGCTCCGCTCGCCGAAAGCAGCCCCGGACGACTGAGGCGCGGCGGCCGGGGCCCCCAGATATTACCCTGGCCACGCCCCTTCCCGGCTCCGCCCTTCTTCTGCTCCTCCCCCTCCTCCTCTCTGGCGAGGGGCGGGCGTGGGGTGGCCTCGTCCTCCCCGCTGCCTCGCCCTGGCGCTGCGTTGTGGCGGTCGCTCTCCGGGACGCTTTGGCTTGCTACCTTGCCCGACCAGGGGCTGAGGGCAGAGGGCTGCCTGGGACTGTATGAGGATTCCTGTCCTGGGCAGAGGGTGGGCTAGATGTCCTCAAGATTAATATAGGTTGCTAGGAAGTGGGGAGGGTTGCTGCCCGACCCAGGCTTGTGCCTGCCCCGGATGCATCCTGAGGGCCAGGGTGAGGCCGGCCTGCAGGGCAGCCTCGGACTCTTTGGGGGCTGCTGAAGGTGACCCTGGGGACGAGGCTGCCGAGGTCTGTCGGTTCAGCCTCTCACCAAGCAGCTTGTGTTAGTCCTCGACGTACAACCACAAATGAGCCCAAGGTATGCTAAGCAAGGCAGTTTTTAAGTCAGTTATGCCCCATTTTACGACCTGTGTTGCTACCGTTGTTAAGTGAATCGCTGCAGTTCAGTTAGCCACACGGTTGTTGAGTGAATCTGGCTTCCCCTACTGACTTTGCTTGTCAGAAGATCCCAAAAGGGGATCACGTGACCCCCTTGGGACACTGCGACCGTCATAAATACGAATCAGTTACCAAGCGTCTGAATTTTGGTCACATGACCAGGGGACACTGCAATGTTTGTAAGCGTGAAAAGCCGTCGTAAGTCACTTTTTTTCAGCGTGAGTGTTTGTAAATTGGGGACCACCTGTAATGCTGGACTAGCACTTCACCTCCCAGGTGAACTATCCAACGCTATCCAGCATCCTGAGAGTTCCCAAACCGGGTCCCCTCTAAATATGCTGGCTCCTGGAACCCAGGGACACATCTGGGCAGAACTAGGTCGGAAGGGCACCTGTGGATCTGTATCCCCCTTGGGATAGAGGGGGATGGATGGATGGATGGACGGACGGACAGACAGACACTGTGGACCCCCGCAGAGACTGACAATGCTGTGCTGTGGCTGCTTGATGAGTTAGCCCAGTTTCGGTTTCCAGAGAAGGAAGCATTTGGGGGACACGTTGGGGCTGTGGTGGCCCCCAAGACACTGAGTGAGCGCCAGCTCTGGCAAGCATCAATGGGGCTGGGAACTGGGGCCACTTGCCTGGGGGCCAATTCCAAAGCTGCTGAGCTCTGGGGCAGGGACCAGGGAGGAAGGACCAAGGGGGCAGAAGGCCACAGAGGTGCAAAGCCACAGGAGACCCTCCCCCCGGGGGCCTAAGTCAGGAGCCCCACTGCTGGGCCCCGAGGCTGCTGCAAGTACCAGGGGAAGGCAGGGCAGGGTGTCCTAAGTGGGGTATGGAACCATCATCGTTTAAATACTTCTCTTTAAAACAGCCCTTCTCAACCTCAGCCACTTTAAGACCTGCGGATGTCAACTCCCCAGACAGCATGCGAGTGAATTTAAAGATGGGGGACTTCAACTCCCAGAATTCCCCAACCAGCCCTGCTAGTGAACTTGGAGATGGGGAGGGGGTGGACCTTCAACTCCCTCGCGGCTCCTCCGAGTCGGTTTCAGTGCCCAGAGGCAAATCCAGCCCTTCCCGAAAGTTACTGGCGGGACTTTCAGTTTTGAAATGCCTGCAGATCTCTTTTGATTCCCTTTTCTCAGGTGACTGAGATGATTCATCGGCCCTGATGGGTTCCCGTAAGTGTGGAACCGGAGAATCAAAATCTCATCAACCCTGCTTGAGTTTGCATAACGCTGCCCGTAAAAAGGAGACGCGAGTGGAACCCAACGCGAGGGATGCATAGAAACAAACGGGCCCTCGATCGGTTTCCTATTTCTGGGCCAAAACCCAGAGTGTTGTTTGTGGTTTGTTATGGAATCGATGACTCCGATTTCTCTATCGCTTCTCAGCACGTTTGCGATGTTTTCTCACAACAGTGTGTTTGTTGGCTCAAGGAAGCAGAAAATATGACTCAACCCTCGGAGATATGTTGTGCTGTCTCTCTCTCTCTCTCTCTCTCACACACACACACACCAATACACACTATTGTGGGCACCAATAACTGGGAGAGTATCACTCCATCTGCAATCAAGAAATAGTGAGTCAGATATTTGTGTAACAGTGAAACCTGCTTTAAATTAACTTTCAAGCAATCAAACTGCCTGACTATGAAGGCGGGAATCTGAGAAACTGAATGTAGGCTTTGTTTATTTATTTATTTTTTATTTGAGGCACCACCAGACTAGAAGCCAGGAAGCTATGAGTTCTAGTCCTGCCTTAGGCGTGAAAGTCAGTTGACTTTGCCTGTCGGAAGGTCACAAAAGAGGATCACAGGAACCCAGGACACGGCGACGGTCATAAATAGGAGTTGCCAAGAATCTGAATTTTGGCCACGTGACCTTGGGGATGCTGCAACGGTCGTGTGAAAAATGGCCATAGGTCAGTGTTCCAACGGTCACTAAACAAACTGTTGTGAGTTGAGGACTACCTGTATGGCTTCCTCTCTTTTTTTCCTTCGGTTTTCCTTCTAGTCCCAAAGGTGCTTTTTCCAAAAAAACAACTGGACTTTCTTGGGTTTTGTTTTGTTTTTTCCTTGAAAACATTCCACTTCTCATCCAACTTCTGAAAAAGCTTCTTGGAGGAGACGCAAAATGTTTTCCAGGAAAAACACAAGAAAGTCCAGCTGCTTTTGGGAAAAGCACCCTGGGGACAACCATGATCTGGAAGATGGAGAACCTTCCTTCTGGCTGGTTGAAGTCGCCGCCTCTGCCCCAACAGGAACCCCCACTTGCATCATCCCAAATTCCAGGCAGAGCGCCTGAGGGGGGTCTGCGCAGGCCTCCCAGCAGGAGAATGCTAGGAACCTGGCGGGCCCAGCCCAAGTGGGCTGGGTGGGGCACACCAGGCCCTGGGCTGGAGCCAGGAGGGCCTTCCAGGCCAAGGGGAGGGAGGGGAAGGTGGGGGAGAGGTGGGGAGATAAGCCCGAGACCGGATGGCCCAGATAAACAGAGGAGAGCAGATAACTTGGCAGAGCAGGAAAGGTCCATTCTGGCCTACAGGATGGCTGCCCTAGAGGGACCTTGGAGGTCTTCTAGTCCAACCCCCTGGCTCAAGCAGAAGACCTGTTGTCAGGGGGGGTTCCAACTTGGCAACTTTAGGACTTGTGGATTTTAACTCCCAGAATTCCCCAGGAAGCACAGCTGGCTGGGGAATTCTGGGAGTTAAAATCCACAGGTCTTAAAGTTGGGGAATTCTGGGAGTTGAAATCCACAGGTCTTAAAGTTGGGGAATTCTGGGAGTTGAAGTCCACAGGTCTTAAAAGTTGGGGAATTCTGGGAGTTGAATCCACAGGTCTTAAAGTAGCCAAGGTTGGACATCCCTTCCCTGTGCCATTCCGGACAAATAGCTGCCCCATCTCTTCTTGAAGACCTTCACTGGTGGAGCACCCACAACTTCTGGAAACAAGCCGTTCCCCTGGTTATTTGTTCTCACTGTGGGGAAATTTCTCCTTAGTTCTAGGTCAGATCTCCATAACTTCCTTCTGTTGGAGGGCGGGGAGGGTTAGAAGGCATTGGGCAGCCTGATGACCTGCTGGCTGGGCTGAGGGAATGGAGCAGGCCTGGATATCTTGCCAGGAGGTGGGATGGCCCAGGAGCTGGCGGGCATCTCTGCTTCCGACCTCTCTGACTCATCCCTTGGGCTCCAGGGGTGATTCATCCTGATAACTCTTCCCCATCCTGGAAAACTCCCTTCTTGAATCACAACAGTGGAGATATCCTTGAAGCGTCATGATTGTTATGGTTTCCTTTGTGTAAAAAGGCCTGGAGGGTGACTGGCAACATCCAGGTTCAGGGATGGCCCAGAAGGGGATTTGCAGGGAGCTGATTGCACGTCCTGGAATGCAGAAAATCCCTGAAACTTAATTTCCACACGTATTTGGGGGAAGGGTGGATGGGGGGGGGGTGGAACGAATGCCTGGAAAGCAACCATTTATCTGAAACCGTAGAAGGTCTCCCGCTTGACTAGAAGATCTCCAGCGTTCCTTCCAACGCTGCCCTCCTGCTAAAGACCAAACCCCTCAACCTCAGCCAACCCAACCCTGCAGAGCTTGTGGTGACATGACAGCCGTCTTCCGGTATTTGAGGGGCTGCCACAGAGAAGAGGGGGATCCACCTGCTGAGGGCAGGAGAAGAAGTAACGGATGGAAACTTATCCCAAGCTGGCTGGGGAATTCTGGGAGCTGAACTCCACACATCTTAATGGAGCTGAGCCTAACTCCGGCCTAACCCTGCCTCCAGGGAAGTCCTTTTCCAGGACAGCTCTCCGGAGACCCCCCCCCCCCGGAGCAACCAGGACCTGGGAAAGATAAGCCTGCAGCCAGGAGACAAATGCTTGGCTGAAAAACATCTAAGCCTGTTGGCCAACTGATTCATGCTATTTTTAGGAGGCGGCAAAGTTCAGTTGACTCAGAGGAGGAACACTCAAGGGATTTTGGTAACAAATGGCAGACCCTGGAGCTGCCCTGGGCCGGAAGAGATGCGTGGGGGAGACGCTTCGCCATTTCTGCTTCCTGAAACACCGCTTTCGGGGGCCGAAGAGAAGATGGCTGCTGCTCTGGGGAAGGAGGGCGGGAAGGGGGGCATATTGAACCAGCAGCCGGAAAGGGTCCTAATGCGATTGTCCAGTTTCCTTGGGAAGCCGAGTTCAGGGAGATTGGGGTGGGGGGGTCCCTTGGGGCAGCCAGCAACATTATGACCAAACAGCAGCCATGAAGAAGAACGGTCAAAATACTCCTTTTTCTTCTCTGTCGAGTCATGGACCTTCCTTCGGATTTGGGTTATTCTCTGCGCTGTTCCTCAGTATTTCGGGGCAGGGGAACTGCCCGCCTCGTTCTGCAAAGCCAGAGGAACTGATCTGGACCACCTGCTTGGCCCTGGAGGGAGACCCTTGGTTGGGCTTCCCGAGGCGTCCTTCCTTTAGTGTTACAG